TGAAGGCTTCCATAAATAACAAAACAGTTGTCTTGTCCTTTATAAACCTAATCAGAGGGTTTCACAACAATAAGGGCCAGTTCATAAGGATGAGATGATCATGCTCTCTTGGGATGAATTCACACAGCCTGACATCATCCCGTCAGGATGCAGGTTCCAACACAGTATGTGTGCTATTTCCCCTCAAAAATCTCCCTTTTCCGTATTTCTATAATAGATCTGGTTTAGCAATCAAAAAGTATTACAAGGGCACAATACAATTGGTTTTCCTCGGGGCACGTTTTGAGGTGAAAGAGTGAGCTGCTTTTATAAACCAGAAGAATCATGTTGGGGGTTTGTCTGTAAGCATGTAAAACTAACTACAAGAGAATAAGAAGGATTCTCCCTCCGATAAAGAGGGAGTTGTGAAATTGTCAGGCTTCCTTAGAGAAGCTGGAAGGGGGGTAAGAAACACTTTGTATACTCTTACCCAAGGAATTAGTGGGTAGAAATAGATGCAAAAAATAAAAATAGAATTCCAATTAAGTGCACAGGGATAAAGGAATGATGGTTTTAACCTGTGCTGTTGACAGAAAATTGGTTGAAAAGCTCCCTCAAAAGTCTCAGTTGTGCCTCAAATAAAGACTAACTACAATGCTAAAGGTTGCCAAAAAAAAAAAGGAATAATCGTTCTAGTATTACTTTTCCTGCTGCAGTTACATATTATCCACCTCTTGTTCACATTCTAAATATAGCAGATCTTGCGCAGAATTATTTGTCACATGCAGCTGCATTTTGAAAAGCTACCACCATCACAACCCTGCCTCACACACAGACAGGCTCTGCTGCAGATCTGGATGCCTGGGCCATACCATCCCAGTCTATAAAAGGGGGTCTGACTATCTCTTGAAGAATTCAGTGGATTAAAAAGACAAGAAAACATCTGAGGCAACCCTCACCAATAATGTCCACAGAGCTCTGGGGCCTGGAGACAAACCTCTCAGACGAGACCCCAAACTGTGGGAGACCTGAGGCACCAAGGCTGTCTCCCAGGCTGCAGCAACCGAGGGTGGGCTGGTGCAAGAGCGGGGAAGACTTACATGCAGTATCTTCCCCACTTCGGCAGTTGACTTGAACCCACAAAGGTCTCCCCACCACTACCTCTTCAAACATTGCAACTGAGAAGACGAAAGAGAGAAACTCAGCAGCCCCAGAGCTGATTCAACAAAGGCAGCAGAGGAGGACCTGGCCAATAACCCTTCTTTTGTCTCTTGTGCCCTCAGTCATTCTCTGCTTCTCTACACCATACTTTTAATGCAAAGAAGAGAATGGAGGCATGTGGTGAAGTACTGACAAGGCGGAGCTCCACTTTCTGCCTGCCCCAAGGTGATTGTCTCCTTTGCACTTTGTTTGTCATTGTCTCACTAGACCAGGGGTGGGCAATTAATTTTCCCAAGGGCCACGTGGGACTGTTGTGGAAGCCTGAAAGAAGAGGGTCACGATGGTGCATAGGCATGCACACACACATGTAAACTGAAAAAAAGAATAACAGTCACTTCAAAATAACAGCAAGGCAGTTGTATTGTGTGCATGGAACACACTTATATCTATTTGACTTCTAATTTCTGGCTGACCTCACGCAAGCCAGACAGGGACAGGTAAAAGGCCAGGTATGGCCTGGGGGCCATCAGATGCCCAGATCTGCATTAGACCCTAAAATCTCCACTGGGAAAAACAATCCAAAGCACAAGTGACTTCCCCTCCCATTTTTCTGCTTTCTTGGATCACAGCAATTGACAATGAACCTATAAACTCTGCTCACATGGCACCTGACGAGCTCAAGAGAAGCTACAAGACTTTGGACTTCTAGCTTACATCAGAGGTCAGCCATAGCCAGCTCACATCTTATCAGGAAGTGAGCCATTCATGACAAGAGGTGACATGCATGAACCACTGGTTCCCTGCCACTCCACTCTACCCCAAATCAGATCAAGAAGTATACCTGCAAAGTGCAGTTCTATTGTGAGACAGGTTGCACTTACAAAGACACCTCTGCGTTAAAAGCTGTACAATCTAAATTTCGGCTGCCCTCACCTTGAGTTCCCCACTCTGTCACTAACATGCTTCTTCCGCTAGAACCTGGCTATATTTCAGTCAAGACTCAATTATGACTTTGCTGATTGAAGTACTGGCTTAAACAAATGAAGGCAAGGGGCATGCAAATCTTTAGCACAATTAGTTTTGAAAGACAGGTATCAATCTTCTTGAAATAAGGAAATAATAGATGATTCCAGTCTGCATCCATGCTAAGCTTCAATGAAGCCCAGAAAGAGCTCAACCATGGAAATTTAGATTTTGATTTACCAAGAGAGAATCAACACTTGCCATCACTGTTACACTAAGCTCACACACCCTTCTTTTTAAATTCCCCAATATCTTTATCATTTATCTCACAGAAGGGCCTTGATATTAGCTCATTTGAATGGGATTGTTGGGCAAATACAATGACATTCCTTACCAAGAACATTTGCATATCTGCTCAGACTTTAAAACTGACATGGTAGCTTACAGACTTTTGGAATGCCCTATATCAATTTAGGAGGACAATGCTAATCTCTCCTCTGTTTACAAACTGTTCAGACAACTCTCATATGGTAGTTACGCGCTACTTATTAAATGACAAGGATTAAGAAATCTCTAGAAATGTAGCCAAATTTAGTACTATAGAAAATAGAAGCTTTTGAATCTGTTTGCTTCCTTGGGTATACCTACGTCAGGCACGAATAGGTTTTTATTGGATGGGCATGTGTTGTTCTGTTTTAACTTCTATGTTTGGTTTGTGACAATATTTTTAAAGGCCTAAACTATGCCCTGCAAAGAGTCTGGGACCGATGATGTTCTGAGAAAACCCCAGGGTTACCATGGTAACCCTGGAATCCTGAACCAGACAAAATTAGCATAGATGCCAGTATAATTGTTCTGAGATTCTCTAAGAATAGAGAACAGAATATATTTCTAGTCCACCAACCTAGTCTACCAACAAGGCCCCTATTCTATTTTGTAGGGTAGGATGCCTGGTGAGACAAATCTATACGATTTCTATAGCTGGCTGCAACCCCTCCTTGCTCCTCCACATATACAAACACCAAATAGCACAGGAGTCAGTAGACAGGTTATCTCATAAACTTAGTCAATGTGGAAAGATGTTCAGGAAGAAACATTTCAAAGTACTGAACATACTCCATCTTAATTAACTCACTATAAATAAGGCTTGGAAATTCCTGTGATAGTTTCCAAGACTTTCTATTTATCCCATACCTTACTGAAATCTCATACTTGCCATTTCCTTGGTCTTGCCCAATTTGGGGTGGGGGTGGGGGATTATATAACATTTTAGTACTGTCTTATTCCAACATTTACTAAAAGAATCACAAAGTGAGAAGGGAAGTTAGCATGGAAACCCCAGCATTTGTTGATGGCATGGGCACAGTGAGAAGTTTGAAACATCCAGATCCTGGAGTTCTTACAGTGTTTCTCAACCTTGACAATTTTAAGGCATGTGGACTTCAACTCCCAGAATTCCACAGCCAGCATTGCTGGCTGTGGAATTCTGGGAGTTGAAGTCCACATGCCTTAAAATTGTCAAGGTTGAGAAACACTGTCTTAGATAATGTACTTATTCCCTTTCAGTATCTTTCTCCTACTTTCACCTTAAGAAAAAGCAATCATATAGCTGTGCCAGAATATCCACACAATAGATTACTATGCCAACCCATTTTCTTCTAGAATACTGCAAGTTCTCTCATGCTGATGGCACACCACTGCTGTCACTGCAAAAGGAGGGTAAAATTATATGTTACTGTTTTGCAAAGCAGCCCCATTATTCATTCTGATGGATAAAAGAGCTGATCAAGAAAGGCTTAAGTCACTAAAACTGTCGGTGAGCATGCAACTCCACAGTTTTCCTTAAGTATTTACCAACTGCATACATGGATTTCATTCAAGGAAAGGGGGGTACATTGTATAGCTTGTTTTCTCAATTAAGACCCATTAAATAGGCTGCAGTTAGAAAACCCATATAAAGCATTATGATTTGCCTCTATCAGACTGAAAATATCAAGCTAGCTGGCAACAAGTTCCTTTTTTGTGTTTGGACCCTAGTAAAAATCATCCAGAAGATGCACTCTTCTTGGTGAGCATAAATGTGGCTGATTGGAAAACTATAGTTCTATTTTTAAAATATTTACATTTCCAAAAGAGAAGCTAGATGCATGCATTATTACATATTGCTAGGCTGCTCAGCTTTCCTGATCTATCACAGATCAGTCCTATGATACAGGTATAGCACATGATCCCTAATTTATAAACTTTGTGTGTGTGTGTGTGTGAGAGAGAGAGAGACAGAGAGAGAGAGAGGGAGGGAGAGGGAGAAGAGAGGGAGAGAGTGCATATGGTGGGGGAATTTAAACATTTCCTCAACAGGAGAACATTCCTCTGCAAAGTCATGTAATGGAATTTCAAGATAATCCAATTCATACTCAACAGACCATGTAGATTAATACAACGTAAGACATAAATTACAGTATATAACAAAGCTGGCTTGGATTTCCAAAGTCCATAGGACCATCTTAACCATTAACAAAAGATCTCAAGGATAATAAATGATGCTCACAGCAAAATGATAGAATGCCAAAGCTAGTGCCTTTCAGATGAACTGGACTGCAATTTCCCATTACCCACAACCAGCATGACCCTGAAATGGCAACTGTAATCCAAAGCATGCGGAGAGGATCAGGTTGTAGAAAGTTGTCTAGTTTAATGTGTCTATTAGGTTTTATTTTTCTTTGGATCACCTATTATCATGTTAGGAAAGAGAATATCAGCCTGTTTCTCATTCTTCACTTACATTTCTGGTGGAAAGAATGATTAAATTCAGATTATAAAGATGGATTGAATACATACAAACATTAAGGCTAAGAGAGAAGGAGACAACTTTGTGGAGAAAAAAGCAGGTTCCTCACCTCTATGGTAGGATCATATTCATCAACAAAATGATTCTGAATCAGCTGAATAGTCAATGCACTTTTCCCAACGCCTCCTGCTCCAACCACCACCAGTTTGTACTCTGTCATCTTCTGGGCTACCCCAGCTCAGGGTCTGCTCACGACACAGGTGCCTGGAAACTATATTAAAAAAAAGCATATGAATATCATAACGATCAGGCACAGTGTTTCTCCCCATATCCCAAAGGATTGTCATTCATGCTACCTTGCAAAAAAACAGCAGCAACAACCAGGAATACAGCAAAGAAATCAAAGTCAGAGCTGTAGCTGCAGATAAGTACATCCTTAGATTCTTTTCATTATATAGACAGGGTAACCACAATATCCAGAAGCTGTAAAGGGGAACAGAGCCCTCTGTAAAGCGTTGTGTAAAATAATACAAGGCAGGCAAAATGCGCACGATCTGGGGAAAGGAGCTATTCATTATTCAGGACCAGTTAATCAGTACTTAAAATCTATTGCTGGCCTGGTGCAGTGAACACAGTGCCAGGCTGAGCTATGAAGTTCTCCTCCTGCACCTATGCCTTACTTAAACGTACCTGGCTGATGCAACTAAGATAAAGGATACTTGGAAATATGAAGCTGCTGCAAGTGAAATAAAATGCCTGCTCCTATTTTCATGCTGGAATTTATCTCCCATTTCTCTCTCCTCATAAAGAATATTTTCCAAATCTGGAAACAAACTATTGGATAAATTTCCTAGACATTCTAAATGTAAAAAAAAAAAAAAAAGGCTTTTAAAGGGTAACAAATTTGTAGACTATTAACAAATTGCTCCAAATGCTGTTTCTTCTCCTTTCATATATGTGGATAACATGAGAAGCAATCATAGATACAGCTTGCAGCAATTTCCACAATCAGAGGAACTGCAAAAGCATTGCTATAATTACAGAAATTCTGTGATGCATCCTGATGCCACCAAAATTGTCCTCTCCGTCTCCTCCCCCCCACCAGACATATATTTATTTTGTGCTATATGCTATAGGAAGGAACCTGGCATAAAGGTAGAGCTAGAAGAGAATAGTAGTTTGCAATTTAAAGCATAATAAAGAGTAGCTACAGAAACTACATCCGGGGCTACTAATGTCAAACATTCTGAGGAAAGCCTGAAAATATCATCAGCCAGGTGTTTTCTGTTTCCCTTTTTATTTTCTTGATATACACTACACCCAGTAGGATCTCAGAATACCATAAGCATTTAAGAACTGTTGCATACGTCAATGGAGAGCTTACAACTTGCTCAAATTACAGATCCAAAGAGTTGCAGAACCAGTATGCGTGCTTCTTAAAATAGTCTTGCTCCCACACAGCCATATTTTTCACCTAAATTGCAGGTCCAGGTGTAAAGGTGGGCTATCCATTTATGCTTCAACCTGTCCTCCTCAATACTGGCTCTGAGAATTGAAGATCTTTCTTCAAGAAGACTGACTCTAAAAAAGGCCTGGGTATAAATCATAATGTGTAAGGCTTTATTTAAAAATAATGTATATTTATTGTTCTGTTTATCTGTTCCCTTCACCTTTCTTTCTTGGCATAATCCTCAGTTTCCAAATCATAGTTAGAATGGGAATCTTACATTTCCCAACTGGCGTTTTTCATGATTGAAGAAATCATGCCAGAACAAGTTAATGTAATCTGCCCAGAGAAGTCTTTGAATTGGGAGGATTAGCAATTGAAATTTTAATAATAATAGTCATAACGACACCACCAATACATTTTCCTCAAAAGTGAATATACAAAGTGTTTTAGATGACATAAATGAATGTAAGGAAGAAAATCTGCTATGAATTAACGACGACGACGACGACGATGATGATGATATCCATTCAGTCATGTCCAACTCTTGGTGATTCTATCTTCTGATCTGCACTACATCTTTGAGTTTTTCTATGCTCTGGCTGGTGTCAGCTTTGATCATGGGTCTTCAAACAGTGTGCCTGGCTGAGGAATTCTGGGAGTTGAAGTCCATGAGTCATAAAAGGGCTGAGATTGAAGATCCCTGGCTTTGACAGTGTCTAGCCACCATGTTCTTTGATGGCCTGGTTTCCTTTACTGCTAACTCTTCCAAATATAATTCCTCCGCATGACATGGCTAAGTGAGACAACTTAATGATAATAATACTTGATAACACTCAATTATTAATCAATACTTTGCTTTTTGTTTAATAAATGTATTTTATTTATTAGCTTTTTAATTTATTAATACTTAGCAATACTCTTCCATTTTGAGTAAGTACAGGTCAACGTCAGAAACAACTAGCACAGTATTTTATTTATATAGGACTCATTCTTCTACACCACCATAGTTACCTCTTTTAGAGGAAACTAGTCTGCTTTTCTATAAGACCAAGATTCTCTTAGATAACAAAGGAAATACATTAAGGAGGGGGACATAGTTCATTCTGAAAAGAGGACTACTGTTTCCCAATTACTCCCATTACATCCATAGCTTATTACAAAAGGAACAGAAATGAATAAGAATGACCAGATTGAGAAGCAAGTAATACATCTCTTACAATTCAATCCTATAATCAATTTACAATGCTCAAAATGAATTTGGAAAGGACCAATCCAAACCAGTCATGTATCTGTTCTTATCTGTTCTTCCAAATTATGAATTAACATTCCAAACGTGGCAGAGGCACCTGAGCAATCATTTTAACCAATTTAATTTCTTAAATATGCTACTCTGAAAAGTTGTTTTTCTATGACAGATCCACTACAGGTCTTTATTTATTCCCTAAAGATCTACTAAATATTTATGCTTGCAACAAATGTTATATTCCTATCTAAATGTTCTTGCATACAGAAAGAATGATGAGCAGGTGGGAAGTTAGCTTTTCACCACTTTCTGGAACCAGAAATATGAAAAAGATTTGCTCTGATCCGAGATCCCCAAACCCTTGCTACCAAGTGGGATTCTATAATTTTCTCCTGTGATTTTCTTCTTGGAGGAACTAAATCTGTCTTTCACTACCTGGAAAAGACTGAAGAGAGAAGAATCCCAGAAAGATGGATAGCGTTGCGGATGAGTTGGTAACCAAACAATTAATGGTTGGGGGAGAAGAAGAGATGTTAGATTTCCTGTAACTAAGGCAATCCTCATTGCAGCTGGCTCTTAGCAGTTTACGTCAACAAAGTAAAGTGAACTCTTAAAGAGGTAAACAGAAAGAGCTATTTTCCTATCATTAGGCATGTTTCACACACATATCAACAAACCGGTTCTTTGGATCACAGATTAACTAGATTCCATGGTACAATTAGAATTTTATTCATGTACAAAGTATTTTCCACCCACGTGGGCCACAGTGAGGTCCCTTTGGAACACAAGGTGATCCACGAAAGAAGACAGACTACTGCAAATGAGAAACAAAAAGTACTTTATTATGGAGCAAATTAAGACTGTCAAATGACACAACCTTTTGCTTTGGGTCTTATAAATACCAGCATGCAATCTTGGATACACACTTATGTCATAATACAGCCAAAACAGCTTTTAGTAGTGCTGAAAGATAAAAATCTCTGTAGAGCCCCCTCCCCCTTTGGCCAGGTCCACAGCGGCCCCGGCCACCTCTGATCTGCAGGCAAGCCTCAAAATAAAGATACAAACAAGCCAATTAAATTTTCTCTGTCGACATTGACACCAGGGCTGCAATTGATTAAATGCGCTTCTTCAGTACCAGCAAACATAAAACAGAATGCCTCTAAGATAAGGGAAATATCTGCACCCTAATTGTAGACCCCTCACAAAAATCCAAAAATCCAGGCAAACATCTGCATAAGATCAACACACCCCACAGGGCAAGAAAAGATTTTTCTCCCCGGTTTTCACATACCTCCAGGCAGGAATACCTTTATTTACGCATCTAACATGCTTCACATCCAAGTCTATAACTTCACGTTTAAAGTCCATTGTTGCTGTAAGTATTACCACTCTCATCTATTAATTTGGTAGCCTACCTTCAATTGCTATTCTCTATGTTAAGCCAGTGAATAAATCTTCCTTTTCAAGCAGTTGCCTAGCATGTTTATTAGTGACCCAGCTTGAATTCTAACCCAGAACCTTTTCTTCTAACAATTGGCAACCACTAAGGGACTCAGAGACTAACTTGGCCAATGTGAAACTTCATCCAGCTGGCACCAGACAATTTGTCTGGCGGGTGCTGCCCTGAGCAATGCCTGTCATGGCACATAGTAAAGGGAGTTTTTGATTTGGGGCCAAGCAGCTTGAACTGGATGACCCAGTGGGTGACTACCTCGCAAATTCGTGTTTGTATGCCCAGTGAGTGAGTGTGTGTTGCTGCCCAGCATCTACATCCCATATCATCCTCAGCCACACCTCAACCATGGTCGGGAGACCTTGGAAAACAAGGTAAATTGACAGGCTGTAAAAGACTGAGTGAGTGGGCTTCTGTCTGGGCAATTGCTGGCCTAGTCCCCTGCCAAGTCAAAATAGAAAAGGGAGTGCCCATACTATGTTTAGAGAGTCCTTCCTGAGTGTGAGGTGCTTGAAAACGAACTGGTGGGTAGGAGTGTCTGTACTCTTCCAAAAAGAGTCCTCCCAGGTGCATGGTACCTGAAAACTGACCATCGGGTAAAAAATGTGTGTCGGCCCTTCTTCATCCTGTCTTACTTTCAGGCACCATGTCCTACATTTCCACTCATACAAAGGACTGAATGAAACCATTAGACACTGAGCATCAAGCAATGCTAACTTGCCCACTACAAACAGAGAGAACTCAGCAATAGAATAATTGCATTATTTCAGCAGTTTTGAGACAGTTCCAAAGGCATCTTAATGCAAATAAGAGTTTCTCTGGATCTGAGAATTAAGTGGAAATCAAGTTTTGGTCACACAATTAGACACAATTTTTTAATTTTTAAAAAAAGGCAATGAAGTGGCATTTGTTTCCTTGTGAAAGCAAATAGCTTCAAAAGAGACTGCAAGAAAAGAAGGCCGAAGAGCCTTCAGATGGATTTAATTCACAAGAATGGAGAAGAATTCATATGCCCTGAAAATTCTCTTTGTGTTGCTGTGCCTCCCGAGATAGATTCAATTCCTGGAGCTAATCTGATTTCACTCACAATAACTTAATCCCCTAAAATGAGATAATAACAAC